TTTGTTTCAGACATTTGGGCCCTGGTAAAGGCCTTATTAGAAAAAAATTATTTTAAGTACAGTAAAAGTTATTCATGAAAAGTTAAAAGGTTTCTTAGAGGTTTCACTGAGGTGTTGACCCAAGAGCACTATAGTGTTTGTTAGTAATCTGCAATGCCACCTTCTAAAAATAAAAATCAGATTTGGTAATACATTTCTCCATAAATGTTCAAAGTTAATTTTGGGGGGGGGGCGGGATTTTACATATTAAACAAGTAATCAATGAAAGCACAGTATGAAAAGCTCAACTAACATCCAACTCATAAGCACCACTCGGGCTGTCATTGGACGAGATTTACAAAAATGTAAAACAATGCCACTCTTCTCACTATGTTATTCTTTTTGTCTGAAAAAGTTATTTTTCATTAAAAATGTTGTTTATACTAACATGTAATGGGTTTGTAACTGTCATTTTTAAATGAATAAAAGTTTTTATATTCATTTTCATTTCTAACACAGAAAATATACAGGAGCTTGAAAGCTTAAAAAAAAAAAAATGCATTTCCCAGACTCCCCTGAAGCTAGGGCTGCAGGTGTGCTTTAAATCAACCAATCTCATCATTTATGAGAGATTTAAAGAGACTGAAAGTAAGGCAAAGGCTGCCTGATTCTGAAGGCAAGCACAGACATAGACGTGTTTAGTTTTTCTACAGCAAAAGCTCTTCCGAGTCCTTGATAATTTTTTAAGAGTGCAAGAGGGTCCTGAGACCAAAAAGTTTGAGAACATCTGATATAAAGAATAATGCATTAATATTAGATCCTTGCAAAACAAGAACAAGGAGTACATAAAATCATTAATTAAAAATTTTCCTCAGGAAAAGGTCATGGAAGCTCCACAGACATATCCAAATTCCGAGGGACCGAACTGCTGGGCGAAGGGCTATGGGGACCATGGTCTTGGGGAACACCTAGCTCAATTGGCATAACATAGTTTATAAAGAAAATGTTCTACATTCTACCTTGGTGAGTAGCATCTGGGGTCTTAAAAGCCTGGGAACAGCCATCTGAGATACTCCACTGGTCTCACCCACTCTGAACAAGGGAAAATGAAGAAAACCAAAGACACAAGGTAAAGATTAGTCCAAAGGACTAACAGACCACAACTACCACAGCCTCCACCAGACTTAGTCCAGTACAACTAGATGGTGCCCAGCTACCACCACTGACTGCTCTGACAGGGATCACAATAGAGGGTCCCAGACAGAGCTGGAGAAAAATGTAGAACAA